GGCGAGCGATCGCATGCTTCTGCTTAAAATCAAAAAGTCTCTCCGTGGTTCGATTGTACCGGTACCTGCCCCACGCAGCGCATTTCAAACATACTGCACGAGCACAAGCAGGAGACCAAGGCACGCATTTCTGAGAATGCCTGCCCGAAGTTTGGGGTATAGAATGAGAAGCTGCAGTTAAAACAGAGGACGAGAAGAGGTGTAAAAGCTCATCAACGGAGGATGAAGAAGGAACCTCACTAAAAACAGTTAGTTGTGAGTAAGGTTCCAATTTGCCTGATCAAATTGCCAGTGTGGGATATGAAGAGGTGGTGAATATGAAGGGGAAGTAAGAATGATTGGGAAATGATCGCTGTCCTGTAAATCCGGGAGAAAAGACCAGGTGAAGTCTAATGTGGTGGAGGAAGAGCAGACTGAAAGATCGATGCAAGAGAGAGTGTGAGTCCGAGGATCAAAATGGGTGTGAGTACCTGTATTTAAAACATGGAGGGGGTGGGAAGCAAGAAAAGCCTCTAACTGAATGCCACGGGAATCACAGTGAGAGTCCCCCAGAGGAAATGATGGGCATTAAAATCACCAAGTAACAGAAGCAGTGGCGGTAATGACGAAACAAGGCAATATCCGGGATAGACAATGCCCGAGGAGAGAGATATAAAGAACAGAGCGTATACCACCTATGCAAGTGGATACGGGCTGCTGTGTAATGCAGCGAAGTACGAACAAATAGCTGATGGTACGGAATATCAGTGTGTAGAAGAAGGGCACTTTCATTAAAGGTCCCATCAGGAAAAGGATCTGAAGAATACAATAAATTATAGCCTGAGATGGGAGAGATAACAGCAGAGTGTAATTTTGGTTCCTGTAAGCAAACACCAACAGGGGAAAACTGGGAGAGTAACATCTGAAGCTCACCTCGATTACCCGAGGCCGTGTATATTCCACTGTAAATAGGCCATGATTGGCAACGATAAAGATACCTGAAATCTGCAGGTAAGGGTTCCTACAGACTAGAGGGGTTAGAAAAGTCCACATGCGGTGGCAGTGGAAAACGTTCAAGCAGCGAAGGAACGGTGCGCTGCAAAGAAAGGAGTTGCGCAGATGGAGGAGAGGAGAGAGAAGGAACAGAGGGTGGATCAGTGTCCATTGATGGTTTGGTCTCTGCAATATATTCAGAGATTACTTCAAGTGTTTCGGAATTCAAAGACGTAGTATGGGAGACAATATTGGAGATGGTAGGGGGAGGATGAGAAAAGATTGGAACTGTAATGGGCTGTACCAAGGTAGGGGGGGGACAGAAAGGGTGGAGAGAACTGGAGAAGAAGCGTGGAAGGGGACAGAGGCAGAAACCTGGGAGGTGGCAGAAGAGGAAGAAACTTGGGAGAGAACAGGGGAGGAAGGTACAGTACAAGGAGGAGGGTGAACCTCTACACTTGTAACAGAGCCAGTGGGAGGGGAAAAACCAGGTACAGAGACAGGGAAGGTAAAATGAGGAGGTGGAAGAAGGGAAGGAGGGGTTAAAGGAGCTTTTTTTGACTTCTGAGAAGTAGAGGGACGATTGGGAGGTGTCGTACAAGATCTCGTCGATACCGAGGCTTGTGAGGGAGAACACGAAGAAGCAAGAACAGACTGAGGCATTGAAGTAGGGAGGTCTGAGCCCAGGACAGCAAAAGAATTAGATACAAGAGTGACTATGGGAGAGGTAACCACAGAGGAGGCTGCAGAAGATGGGACCCCAGAAGTGGGGGGACATTTTGAAACACGGGAATAAGAAACACGAGGTAGTCTCCCTTCTCCCTTGGAGGCGGAGATGAGAAACTGCCATGGGATAAGACCTTCAACATCTTTGAGGTAATGGATTTCCCGCTCATTTAAGCAGACTTGGCAATGGCGAGAGTACAAAGGGTGAGCCTCATGACAATTAAGGCAAGAGGGAGGTCGATTGCAAGACGTATTAGAATGGTCATCGGCACCACAGACTGGGCATTCGGCTATAGATCTGCAATATTTCACTGGATGGCCAAATCGCCAGCAATTTCTACACTGTTGCGGTGTAGGGATCACCTTTCGAACTTGTAACCAATGTCCTGCTACATAAACTGAGGATGGGAGTTCACGGCTGTCAAAAGTTAAACGAGCCATATTGCTAGGGTATCATCTCCGCCTGCGGGCAGGAAGAACAGAAGTGTCTACCTTGAGGATTGGGAGATCTTGGAGTTCCAGCTATTCAAGAATGTCATTGCCACATGTCTGGAAATTTTGTTGAACTATGGTATGGGGCAGAATGACGGTACCACTACAAGAATTGAAGGAATGATGTTTTTCAATAGTGACAGGAACAGTATCGATATGGGAAAGAAGAGAAAGATCATGAGCTTGGGTAGCATTCTGTACAGTGATGATGTGCGTACCGCTCTTAAGAGCATGAAAAGAAATAACTTTACCAACATGGCGTAGGAGTGCCTTGCCAATACTATGGTCGGAAAGATAGGCAATCGAGGAAGTCAGTCATAAAGTGAAGAATTTAGTCCATTGTGCATTCTGAAACTGAGCGTGGAAAGGGAGTGTAGGACGTGTCGATCTTTTCTGAGAAGAATGAGAAGGTGGAGAAGTATCATCAGCAGGTAATTGTCGTTGGCGTTTAGGAGTGGGACCAGAGTTAGTCCGACGTGGAACGGGCTGGCGATTCAAAAATTGCCGCACCGTAGAGGGAGAGGCCAGAAGCATAGTCAAAGGAGAGTGGAGGTCAGATAAATTGAAGGAGTCAGTCGAGACCTCAGTACCTGAAGCAGGTGAGGAAACAGCACCGGCAAGAGGTACAGAGGCATTAGGAGTGTCCGAAGAGTGGTCCAAAGACGAGGCGGGGTCAGAACGGGGTGCAGTATCAAGAAGGGGCCTGGGGGTAGCAGGTTCATGGACTAGGGGTTCCATGGTTAGGTTACTTCTTTGTTTTTGCTTTTAAGAAAAAAAAAAGAAAAGAAAAAAATAAAAATAAAAAAAAAAAAAGAATAAAAAAAGGGGGACTGGGGAGGGATAGTTCTTGGGAGGAATGAGAGGGCCAGAAAGCTCCCTCCGCACCCAAGAGGACCTCAGCACCGCAAGTAGTGCAGATGCAGCATGGAACCCGTGCCATACCCTACCCATCATGCCAGTAAACCAACAATCCGGGATAGCAACCTCACATCTGCCGCGCTACCTCGGTGGACAAAAGAGAGGGCGGCTGGATATCTGCCACAAAGCATACCTCCTTTGGCCACCACCCCCGGAATCCGAAAGCCAGCCTCCAGAGATACACCCGTTGCCTGAAAGATACCCAAAGCCACTCCCCGGGAGACCGGAGAGGGATTGGGACATCCCCAGGCGATCCAGATTCCACGGCAAACTCTACACCGCCAAGAACCTCAAAGGAATGGGATGGACCCCAGTACCCTTTCCCCTACCCAGGAACTAGCGTGCCTGTGGAAAAAAAAAATAAAAGAGGAAGGGTAATAGGGAGGGGTGAGGAGGAGGAGGAGGAAAAGAAAAAGGGAGGATGGGATACGGGAGGGGGGATTGGGGGGTAATTAGGTTCGGTCTGAGGAAGGAGACCAACAGGTCTAATTCCTCAGACCAAGAGCCTCTTCACCATGCAAAGGAGCCCCTCTTGAAGAGAAGTATTATTCAGAGAGCTTAGGAGTGGGTTGTTGAGGTGGTTTGGTCATTTAGAGGATGGAGCAAAATATGATGACTCGGAGGGAGTATAAATCTGTAGTGAAGGGAAGGAGGGGTAATGGTCGTCCTAAGAAAGGATAAAGTAAAAGAGGTTTTGTATGCAAGGGGCTTGGACATACAGCAGGAATGTGTGAGCATGTTAGATAGGAGTGAGTGGAGAGGAATAGCTTTTGGAACCAGATGAGTTGTTGAAGTGTGGATCAGGGTAATTTTTTGTGAAGGGATTCAGGAAAACTGGTTAGCCAGACTTGAGTCCTGGAGGTGGGAAGTACAATGCCTGCATTTTAAATAAGGGATTTGGATATTTGTTGTTTAGAGAGACATCTAAACTGTCATATGTGCTCGCCTCTTCAAAGACAGTGATAGTGTAAATGGTGGTGAAAATATTTCTTTTTCTGAGGAGTCACCTTGTCTCTGTGGGAGACGGCAAGCGTGTTAAAAAAAAAAAATCACCATCCTCATCCCTGGTGCATGTAGATTTAATATTCTGACTCATCATAGTAGTAGATATTAGTACCACCACCTAACTGATCAGGCCTACAGTTATGTATGGCTGTGTAACCAGTTATGGTCTATGAAGAGGTCCAAAGGATATTCATTATTTTCAAGAACTGCATAAGGCAGATCAAGCATTTTTATAACTGCCATATTTGTACTATTTTCTGGCCTAAAACCAAACTGGCAAAGGCTGAGTATATTGTGAAACACTAGGAAGGAGTAAACTTGCTTATGAACTATTTTTCAAAGAATTTTGAGAGTAATGCCAGGTTGGATATTGTCCTATAATTATTTACCCCAGTTGGATTACCTCAATTGTGTACTGAGGTAACTCTTTGCTATCTTAAGCATCACTATCAAAGTTGCAGATTCTAATGCTTTGTTGAACACGTTGCAATAGTGTGACAGCATATAAGTTGCTTTTTTGTATATAAATGATGGTAAATTAATTAGGTTTCCTGTCTAATTTTTCAGTGAATTTATTATAACCTGTGACTTGCTTATTTATCACAAAACATAAGTTAAACAACTTAATTGAAACACAAACTACAAATACTACTATTACTAACTGCTACTGCTGCTGCTGCTTGCTGTTACTGTTATTGTTTTGGCAAGAAATACATGATCATCACAATTCAAAGACCCTCTAAATTACAACATCCCCATCGCTCCAGAATACAGACACTGTACTTTCCACTTCAGTATTCGGGTCCAGTTAACCAGTTTCTCTGAATTCCTTCATTTAAGTTACAGTGCTTGCATCAACTCCAAAAGAACACTAGAAACCACTTCAATCTAACTGTTGAAATTTATTTAATTTCTTCCTTGATCAAAAATACTATTGTCACAAACCAATGATGACAAGCCAGTGATCATTCCCTCCAAATCACTTGTTTTCTCTAGGCTGGAGTGTTACTGGACACTAATGGCCCCTTTCAAGATAAGCAAAATTGCATATCTGGAGAATATACAGAGAACTTTCACTGCATCCATAAGTACAATAAAGAGGTCAGTTACTGGAACATCTGAAGTCCTCTGACCTGTACTCCTTGAAATGCAGGTGAGAGAGAGATACATAATTTTTACATGAAAAATTCTAGAGGAACTAGTCCCAAATCTGTACACAGAAATCGTTTCCTACAAAAAAAAAAAAAAAAAAAAAAAAAAAAAAAAAAAAAAAAAAAAAACTCAGCAGGCAGTCTCTCTCCAATAAAAAGCAAGGGTGCCATGAGTACACTAAGAGATAACACAATAAGTGTCAGGGGCCCAGGATAGTTCAACTGCCTCCTAGCATACATAAGGGGGAATACCAATAGACACCTGGCTGTCTTCAACAGCTGGACAGACACCTAAAGTCAGTACCTTACCAATATGGTTGTGGTTCATGCAATGGATTGCATGTGGCTGGCAGTAACACCCTAGTTGGTCAGACCTTGAATCACCCCAAGGCCTCATCATGAGCTGGGTCATGGGGGCATTGACCCCCCTGAAACACTCTCCAGGTATATTCCAGGAACGATTCGTATTAATTGTGGTTTTTGAGAAAAGTCATTCATGCATTCTGAACACTTATATGATTTCTCTCCAGTACAAGTTCTCATGTGATTTACTAAATCAGACTTTTGAGAAAAGTCTTTCAAACATTCTGAACACCGAAATGTTTTCCCTCCAGTATGAGTTATCATGTGACTTACTAAACGTGATTTTCTAGAAAAGTCTTTCAGACATTCTGAACACTGATATGGTTTCTCCCCAGTATGAGTTCTCATGTGAATTACTAAATCAGGCTTACGAGAAAAGTCTTTCAGACATTCTGGACACTGATGTGGTTTTTCTCCAGTATGGACTCTCATGTGACTTATTAAATTTGATTTTCTATAAAAGTCTTTCAGACATTCTGAACACTGATATGGTTTCTCTCCAGTATGAGTTCTCATGTGACTTATCAAACTTGATTTTTCAGAAAAATCTTTCAAACATTCTGAACACTGATGTGGTTTCTCTCCAGTATGAGTTCTCATGTGACTTACTAAATCAGACTTTTGAGAAAAATCTTTCAGGCATTCTGGACACTGATATGGTTTCTCTCCAGTATGAGTTCTCATGTGTCTTATTAAACTTGATTTTTCAGAAAAATCTTTCAAACATTCTGAACACTGATGTGGTTTCTCTCCAGTATGAGTTCTCATGTGACTTACTAAATGTGATTTTCTAGAAAAGTCTTTCAAACAATATGAACACTGATACGGTTTCTCTTCAGTATTAGTTGTAGTGTGACTTACAAAATCAGACTTTTCAGTAAGTCTTTCAGACATTCTGAACATTGATAAGGCTTCTTTCCTGTATGAGTTCTCACGTGTCATACTAAATCACATTTTTCAGAAAACTGTTGTTGTTGTTTTTTGTCTATAATAAATGTGGGCAGAGATGTTATGAAAATTGTTTTAGTGTGAATGTGTGGCTTCAACACGTTTTTTCAAGTGAATATTTAACTAGAGAAGAATCTGAGATCATTACACGGAAAACTAATATTTCTGTAATATTATAAATATAGCAAGCACTAAACCTGTAAGGGTAATACAGTGATACTCCAAGTTACAAACTTAATTTGTTCCGGAAGGCTGTTCAAGTGCCGATACCGAACGAATTTGTTCCCATAAAGAATAATGTAAATTAGATTAGTCCGTTTCAGACCCCAAAAATACACTTACAAAAACACTCACAAAAATACACTTACATAATTGTTTGAATTGGGAGATGTTCGAAACTCAAGTACCACTGTATAGTGACTAAGGAATAGGGTGACTCTAGCAGATATTTCAGTGTTTATGACACGTTAACCTTATAAAAGTGTTTGTTGGTACTGTAAATGTTGCATTACCAACACTGTTATGGTGTTGCCACTGTATTACCACTGTAGTTATTGTTGTCAATGTATAATTAACAGCGAAGTAGAGCTGTTACTATATTATTTTATACTGTAGTTAGTCACTGTATTATTAATACTGTAGTTAGTGTTCTCACTGTGTTATAACACTGTTGTGTTGTCACTGTAATAGTCTATAGTTTATTGTCACTGTAATAGTCTATAGTTATTGTCACTGTATTATTAACACTGTAGTGATCACTGTATTATTAATTACTGCAGTGGTCACGGTATTATAAACACTACATTGGTCAAAGTACGTATTATTAACACTGTAGTGGTCACTGTACCTATTATTAACACTGTAGTGGTCACTGCATTTAACACCGTAGTGGTCACTGTATTATCACCATAGTGGTCACTATACTATTAACACTGTATTATTAACATTGTAGACAGTGCTGTCACTATTAACACTGCAGATAATGTGATAGCACTGTCACTATATTAACACTATAAATAGTGTGACAACACTGTCACTGTATTAACACTGTAGATAGTGTGTCACCATATATACTTAATAGAACTTTCAGAAGGTTTCTAACACTGATGTTGGCACTACAAGTGCCAGCCTCTGGTGCAATGATGATCTACAGTATTGACACTACAAGTGCCAGTCTCTGGTGTCAGGATGACCTGCAGTATTGACACTACAAGTGAGAGTCTCAGGTGTCACAATGACTTGCAGTATTCACACTACAAGTGCCAGCCTCGGGTGCCAAGATGATCTGCAGTATTGACACTACAAGTGCCAGTCTCTGGTGTCGCAATGACCTGCAGTATTGACACTACAAGTGCCAGCCTTCGGTGCTAAGGTGATCTGCAGTATTGACACTACAAGTGACAGTCTCAGGTGTCACAATGACCTGCAGTATTCACACTACAAGTGCCAGCCTCTGGTGTCAAGATGATCTGCAGTATTGACACTACAAGTGCCAGTCTCTGGTGCCAAGATGATCTGCAGTATTGACACTACAAGTGCCAGTCTCTGGTGCCAAGATGATCTGCAGAACTGACACTACAGGTGCCAGTCTCTGGTGCCAAGATGATCTGCAGTACTGACACTACAAGTGCCAGTCTCTGGTGCTAAGATGATCTGCAGTATTGACACTACAAGTGCCAGCTTCTGGTGCCAAGATGATCTGCAGTATTGACACTATAAGTGCCAGTCTCTGGTGCCAAGATGATCTGCAGTATTGACACTATAAGTGCCAGTCTCTGGTGCCAAGATGATCTGCAGTATTGACACTATAAGTGCCAGACTCTGGTGCCAAGATGATCTGCATTATTGACACTACAAGTGCCAGTCTCTGGTGCCAAGATGATCTGCAAAATAAAATTGAAAATTATTAATTTTTTATTCTTATACCTTCATCTTTTCAACACACCGGTCATATCCTACTGAAGCCAGGTGACCCAAAGACAAAAACGAAAGCTTCTCTCTATAAATTTAGTAATGCATACAGAAGAAGTTGCTAGCCCCTTTCTTCCGGCATTTTTTATTTATTTATTAATTTGAACATGATACATAGAAGTACAAAGAAATACAGGGGTTAAGTGTAACAAGCCAGAGCCCCTTGTATGCAGAGCATTATGGGCAGGCTTAAAATTAACTTAAGATTAACTAAATAATTCGGCGGAGGCGGCGGCAGCGGCAGCAACGGTATCCTACCAGCTCTTCTTTCTCAAAAAAACATCGCCCATCAAAACTTGTGATGGCCTAAGTGAAAGTTCAACTACATGAACCCACGTAGACCACAACATGACCCAAGAATACTAAGAATGTAACCCAAATCTTGACAAAATTAGAAGATCTAAGGAAGACAGCCCTGCTAACCCAAACACTGCCTCCGCTGCCAGACAACCACTTAGCCCAAGCTCCGAGAAAACAAGCCTTCTCCTCCATTGCTACACAGTATCTACTTCAGTGATACTATGAAAGGATATCGCAGAAGAAACAACACCAGTAATAAAAGAATAACAGCAAGGACCTAGAACTCACTTGTCTACCCAGGGGACGCCGGTGACATCACCCCCCCTCACTCCCCCACCCGGGAACAACAACAACAACAAAAACAGGTGACTCCCCTCCAACTCCCCTCCCTTCAAAAGGATTCATCCATGAAAACTCAGTAAATTATTCCCTGAAATATAAAGGGATAATCGTTGCTCTAGAAATGAAATCAAAGATATAAAGAAACACTCAGCGACAGAACCCAAGATAACCAACCTCGGAATAAGACCCAAAAACCCCTTGAAGAGAAGATTAATGGGGAAAATGTTGACACAGAAAATCCAAAAGCGCTATACCCCAGTCACACTGACAAATAACAACAAAAATAGGGGTTTTGAAAAAGCAATCAAGGAGGGAATCAAACATGCCACTCGACTAAAGAATCCCTTTATTTCCAAGCGACAAAATAAACAAGATAAGTTGTCTGTGCAGTTAATAAACAGCCCCCAAACATTCCTAGTGACAAACAAGCACATGCAAAGAAACGCTGTCGGGATAATCAGAACCACTAAAAATCATCGTGCAAAACAATAAAAAAAGGAAACCTTTGCTGGGAAAACCCGGGAATAAACACGTAAATAAATCCTTCATCATACGATAAAAAAAAGGACCAAATTTAAATCAGAAATTACAATAAAAAAATGGAGTGTACAAAAATGATTCTAACAAAAAAAACTCAAAACCTTCTTTTCGGGCGAGAAAATTTAAAACCGGGGAAAACAAAAATACATCAGTGTTTCACGCGAGATGGGAAAATACTAAAAAGGAAAACATCAACAGGACAACAAAACCATCCAAAACGAACACGACCTCCCTTTCCCTTTAAAAAAGCTACATTTCTGAAAACAGATTAATAAGTCCCCTTAAAAAAAATTACGTGTGGTCATAATGACGTTACTATTATTTGTACTTTATTTTTTTTATTATTTTCATCACAGCTAATGCCAACTCCCTCCAATATCTATACTTCTTTTTAGCTTTTAAATTTCATAATTTAAAAATTAAAATCAAATCTTACTCCAAAATAAAAATTCATTATTCTTCCCTGTCCTTTTAAATTTTTGTTTATCACTACTTGTTTTTTAGTCACTTTTCATTGTTATGAAAATTTTTAGTGTTATTCCAAAATTTTTTTTAAATACCAAAATATTTTTCTAGCTAGTACCAACACCCTTTTTTTTTTACTTTTTTGTGCAATAAACCTCAATTTTTTTAATATTACAAATCAGATCTTACTCCAAAACCCAAATTTTTTCATAGGACCATCTGTTTTTTTAATTTTTGTTTACCATTCTTAATTTTAGTCCCTTATAATTTTCTCCTTTTTTTTAGTTTTATATACTCCCCTTTTATATATTCACAATTTTTAAAAAATAAAAGGGCTATTCTCAGGTGCTAAAGTAAAAAATTTCACAATTTTGCCATTATTTCCCAAGCTCATTATTGATTCCCATTTTATTGTTAAAACCAAAACTTTATTGTCCCTTTTATTTAATTTTATACTATAATTCTAATTTAAAAAATTCCCTTTATAGCCCTACCTACCTATTATTCCCAAGCCCTTATTTGATATCATTATTTGTTTTAGTCCCTTTTATATTGTCCCCTTTTTATTTAGTTTAAAAAAAAAAAAAAAAAAAAAAATACCACTCATTATTTTACATTTGTTAAAAAATTCGGCTTTTTTTTTGCTTAAGACTTTTTACTTTTTTTTATTTTAAATTTTTTTTCCCAAACTATAGATTCCTACAAATCTTTGATTACAAGCATTGATTGATCCCAACCCTTTTTTAAGACTTAAATGAATAAAAACAGTTACTGAAATTTACTACATGCAAATTTTTAAAGGCACTTCTCTCCAAAAAACAACATAACATTTTAACTAAAAATTTCCGTTTTTAAGCAAGCTTTACGATGCCCTCATAGCTTACTAAATTCCCCCTTACAGCCATTGTCCATCTTACCAAACTAAAACCCGGGCTAAAGCCGAAATCAAATGTCTATGCCATTCTGTTGACGCCCCCCAAACTTAGGCCAGACCAACAAGGGGTGCACAGCCTATACTCTCAGACCAACTAAAATGTATCACAATATTCAAAAGGGGATGAACATGGGGAATATTAATAGCCAAATTAAAATCCAATACCTACAAAAACCTCTCACATTGAAAACATCTACAGAGTTCCACAGTCAAACATTGCCTTTTAGTCAAAACCTGGGAAGTATAAACTGATGCACGCTTGAATAAAGATCACTTATACTCTCAGGGATTCAATATAAACCCCAAGACCAGGGCCCACACGTTACTGAATTCACAAACCAATGATAATGTATTTGTACCAACAGTAACAAAAACCTACAAAGTTCAGGATTTGTTTCCCCCACTTACCCCACTGGACCGCACCATATCCCCCTTTAAAATCACATAATTACAGATAAACCACAACCCACCCACTTTCCTCATAAACCTTGGTAAAATTACCCCAAGACAACTAAAGTCAACTTCAACTTACAAAGGCAGCCTTAATAACTTCACACAGCATAGCAAAAATTGATGGCACCTACTAAAATTATACAAAATTGACGAATGTATTAATAATTTTCTAAAAAGACCCCAAAACCTCATAACAAGCACTGCCCCAAAAAAAAAATAAACAGATGAAGCTAAAAAGACTGAACACCCCGGGGTAACACCCGCTTTCAAAACCTAAATACAAACACCAAAAGAAAAACATACAGAAGGGTCAC